TAATTATATATATTAGTGGAAAGACTAACAAACTCACACTAACATATTACATCCACATCTACAAACATGTAATAGTGCAGCGCCGCGCTCATCGCTCTAAACAGAGGAGCCACGTGCTGGCCATGTGATGGGCGCATGCATCAATTAGCAGTAAAAACACTGATACCTATGAAACTACACTTAACTAAACATTTCCATACACAGTACTTACTTTTATAACGCACACCTTTGACTTAAACACACAAACTACTGCAAACTTTAACTTAAACTTATGAAAACACTCAGACACGGCAAAGTAAGATGTGCTCGCTCCACTCCTCTCTCTCGCTCTGTGCATGCAGGGCGCACGCAGGTCTCCGGTGGTCCAAGCTCCGCCCCCTTAAAGGGCCAGCGTGACAGTCTCTAAGGCAGCCTTTTTAACAGCCGCCCCCGGATTCACCTGTGAATACGAACATCTAAAAGGCTGAAGTGTCAATCGTCCTTTGGTAGAGCAGGGAGACTGACGAGCCTCGCCACTGGCCGGACGTAGGTTCTTCCTTTAACTGTGACTTCTGCGGATCTGATCCTGTCGTCGGGTCCAGGGAAGACTTGTGATACTGTACCTACAGGCCAGAGGGCCCGGGGTAATTGTGGGTCAACAATCATGGCCACTTCCCCCACTTGCAGATTCACTGATTCAGTCCGCCACTTCTGGCGAGCTTGGAGCCCTGGCAAGTAGTGCCTTAGGAAATGCTGCCAGAAATGGTCGGCTAGGATCTGGCTATGCCTCCATCTTCTTCGCCCGAGGGTCTCTGGCCCTTCATAAACAACCTGTGGCAGTGAGGCATCCCGCCGCCCCATGAGAAGGCAGTTGGGGGTGACAGGGTCTGGATCTGCCACTTCGGATGAGGTGTAGCCGAGGGGCTTGGAATTGAGCATCCCCTCAACTTCAATCAAAACGGTGCGTAGTACTTCCTCTGTGACTGATTGAGCTCCCAGGGTGACGCGAAGAGCGGCCTTGAGGGAGCGGATCTCACGCTCCCAGCATCCGCCGAAATGCGGTGCTCCAGGGGGGTTGAAGGCAAAGGTGATCTGCTGACAGGCCAACTGATCTTGGAGGTCAGGATGAAGAGACTGGAACGCCTCTCGCAACTCACGGTTTCCTCCGCGAAAGTTAGTTCCCTGGTCACAGAGAATCTCTTTGGGCTTTCCTCGTCTGGCGATGAATCGTCTCAGGGCCATAAGGAATGCGTCAGTGTCTATACTGGGAATCAAATCGAGATGCACTGCTCTTGTAGTCAAACATTTAAACAGTATCCCCCACCTCTTCTCATTCCGGCGCCCGATCTTGACGGTGTATGGCCCGAAGCAATCTACGCCCGTGGAGTAGAAAACAGGCTTGAAAAGGCGAAGTCTGGCTGGAGGGAGATCAGCCATCCGTGGGGGATGTGGTCGACCTTTCCACTTCTTGCACTCCGCGCAGCCTCTCTGGTGGCGACGCACTGCTTCACGTCCACGTAACACCCAGTACCTCCTTCTGATCTCAGCAAACACCCTCTCTGGCCCTGGGTGCTGGAGCTTTTCGTCATAATCTTGTATGATGAGACGGGTTAGTGGGTGTCGGGGGTCCAGGACGATGGGGTGCACCTCATCTACTGCCAGGTCTGGATTGCGGCGTAGGCGGCCTCCTACTCTGATGAGCCCGGTCGCCTCATCAAACTCTGGAGCGAGCAGAAGAATGCGGCTGGATCTGGATACTGGTTTACCGGCTTCCAACTGGGAAACCTCCTCTGGAAACGACTCTCTCTGGGCTTGGAGTAGAATCTCGAGCTCAGCCGTGGCATAGGAATCAGCCGTCAGAGTGTCACTGGAACCGGCCGCCCCGTGCAGCTGACGCGCAGTGGCCTCCAGGTAGCTGCCCAGCGTCTGGTACTGGAGCGGATCTGGAACAGTAGAAGCTGACATGGTTAAAACAGTGTGTTTCAGCTCACCTTCAGGTTCACTCTGGACTGCGGGCAGGGGTTCAGGCCAGTCACTTGAAGCTTGCTTCAGAAATGGAGGACCTCCTGTCCATCTGTTGCCTCTGCCAATGTCTCTGAGAGTGAGGCCACGGGTGATGTCATCTGCTGGGTTGTCTTTCGAAGGCACATATCTCCAAGTGGCGGCTTCGGTCAGCTCTTGTATTTCGGCCACACGGGTGCCCACGAAGACTTTGTAGCGGCATGAATCTGAGCTCATCCAGGTTAGGACAGTGGCTGAGTCAGACCATAGAGTGCAGCTGCGGATGGAGAGGGTTAACTCTGTGCTGATGACTTTGCAGAGTTGAGCACCAGTAAGGGCAGCGCACAGCTCCAGGCGGGGTATGGACTGCTGCTTCTTGGGGGCAACACGTGAGCGCGCTGCCAGGAAAGCAATCTCCACTTCTCCATTGGTATTCTGGGTCCTCAAGTATGCCACAGCTCCATATGCTTGTTCTGAGGCGTCGCAAAATACATGAATGTCTCTGATACTTGTGGGCTGGTCCATGCAGCGGGTGGTGTAACACCTGGGCAGGGTGATCTTGGGTAGGTGTGCTAGCTCTTCTTCCCACGCATGCCATTTCTCCAGGAGCTCTTCGGGAAGCTGTGGATCATCCCAATCCCTCTTCTTCTCCCACAGGTGCCGAACAATGACTCTGGCCCGAGTGGTGAAGGGCACTATGTAGCCAAGAGGATCATACTGGCTGGCTAACACTCTGTATATGTTCCTCATGGTAGCCACTGGGCAGTCAATGTCTCTGTGTTTGTAGGTGAGCGTGTCAGACTCACAGTTCCAATGCAGGCCTAGTGCGGGCTCTGGGACATCGAGCTGACCTTGACTGAGCCACAGATCACAACTGGATGATCTTAGGTCTGGCGGGAGGTGACGAACAACGCTTGGATCATTACTAGCCCACTGTCTGAGCTCGAATCCGCCGCTGGTTAGGAGATGGCGTAGCTTGTTTACAAGAGCCTTGGCAGCGTTTGGTGAGGCGAGACTCTGCATGCAATTGTCCACATAAAAGGACTTGTTGATAGCAACATGAACATCGTCGTGTGGCTGGCTGTGATCAAAGACGTGTTTCTGCAGAGCAAATGTTGCACAGCACGGACTGCACGTAGTTCCAAACGGCAGTACCTGCCACTCATAAACCTCAGGCGGACTGTCTCGCTTCATGTCCCTCCATATAAAGCGCAGCAGTGGTCGGTCTTCAGGGAGGAGCCTAACCTGGTGGAACATACCACGGATATCACTGCTGAAGGCAATGGCGTGCTCTCTGAAGCGTAGCAGTACAGCTAACAAAGCTGGGCCAAGAGTGGGACCTGGTAATAGGAGCTGGTTTAGGTTGTGACCTTGGTGCTGGAATGAGCAGTTATACACCACACGATTCTTCCCATTATGTTGGACCATATGGTGGGGTATATACCAAGCTTCTGGGCTGCTCTCCACTTGACTGGGTGTTAGCTTCACCACATACCCGGCCTCTACCAGCTTCTCAATCTCTCTCTGATAGGCAACAGCTTGTTCTGGGGCTCGAGCTAAGCGCTTCTCTGTACCTCTCAGGAGTGGCAGAACAGCTTCTGGAGTGGTTTTGAGGGAGGGCATGTCTTTTACTCGGAGGAGGGGTGTGGCATATCGCTCTGTGCCATTAATGTTGACTCTCACTGTCTGCTCTTGTAGGAGTTTGACTGCCTCTTGGTCTTGTCTTGATCTCACGACCAGCTTCTCACTGCGGTACGGAAGGACATCCATCTGCCACAGCTTCTCCACACATGCAAACAGCTCAGAAGGTGAGGGGACAGATGTAAAGAGGCAGTTACTCACGTTAGGCCCGGACTGGACATCCCGAGCTGGCCCCTGCAGTGTCCATCCAAGGAGAGTCTTCACTGCAGCTGGACCACCACGGGGTCCCCATCGAACAGGCTCTATCGGTGTGATAAGGTGCGTGTAGTCTGCACCAATCAGCAGCATGGGATGGGCTCTGTTCAGCGTGGGGAGGGGCAAACCTGATAGATGTTTGTACTTTTGCTGGAGCACAGCGACTGGATGGGAGTGCTCTGCTAAACTCAGCGGCTCTGCTGTAAATGCGTTGTGGATTTCGTACACCTTCTCTGGGTTGCCAGCTGGAGAAATAGAGAAGGACACTGATGCTCCGTGAAGCCTCTCCACCTCTTGTTTGACGGTGCGGAGGGCTAACACTTCTTTACTGCCTTTGAGGCCCAACTGTTTCGCTGCCGAATGGAGGAGAATGGTTCGCTCAGAGCCGTCGTCCAATACAGCGTATGTTTCCAAGCACTGGTCTCCATTTCTCAGAACCACCTTACTTATCTTCAGCAGCACTTTACAGTTGTATACTGGGCGATCAACGTACATAACTTTATTGGTGGTGTTTACAAGACAGCTCTCTGTGGGGGGTGTAGCGGGTACCCGTTCCTCCTCTGACCTCTCATTGACCTCATGCAGCACTAACAGGTGTCTCCGATTGCATGTTTTACATGCGGCTTTGAGTGTGCACTTTGCAGCCTGGTGATTACGACCACAGCGCCAGCACTTATTGTTAACTTTGATCCATGCCACCTTCTGCTCTTTGCTCAGGCCTTTAAAATTGGCACAATTATTCAAGAAGTGCTTGTCATGGTCGCAGTAGGGACAATAAGCTCTCATCTTATCTGCACTCTTTGGTTGGTTGGCTGTGTGGTCTGGTGCAGGGGTTAAGGCTGACTGTGGTGCTGGGGCTTTCTCTGTGCTCAGAAGGACTGATGCAGACTTAGTGGAGGATTTATGAGGGCGCTTGGTCTCTGCTTTCTTATTGGACCAATCCTCTCTCTTCGTGGGCTTAATGCAGTCTTCCTGTACCTCCAACTCATATTCGAGCCAATCCGCGAAATCAACTAGGGTGGGAATGGCAACTCTGAGTGGGTGAATGAACCTCTTGAAGTTAGCATTAAGGTCATGCGGGAGTTTACTCAGTAAGCGTGACACATGTGAGCCACATATTAGCTCTATCTGGCCTCTCTGCCCCAGCTGCTGTACATGCCAACTAAAGACCGCACAGTGAGCGCAAAGAGACGGAAGCTACTCACATCCCCACTGCGGATATTGGGAGCATCCATGAGCTCTGCGATGCGCTGCACAGCCAGTTTGTGGGGCTGTCCATACATTTTGGTTAGAGCCTGCATGGTGTCTGTGTATGGCTGCATAGAGTTACAGTACGAATCGGCCACAAGTGAGGCTTCCTCACACTTAAGGTGGTCTGTGAGGATCTGGTATTTGTACCGCTCTGTGGCGTCTTCCGGTAGGAGGTTCTCTAGTGCCACTTTCATCCTGGAGAACTCTCTGGGGTTTGGTGCAGTGAGGCATGGGATTGTGGGCTTTGGTCCCCTATATGTGCGCTCCCTCTGTGGGTTATGCGCATAGGCATTCTAGTGTATGAGGGGTAACTGCCTGTATATGGAGTGCCGTTCTGTGCATCACTTACTTGGTTGTAAGAGTGAGCTTGAGATCTCTGCCCATACAGGTCTGCACGGGGAACACTTTGCTGGGGAGTGGCTGCATAGTATGGGGGGTTAGGCAGAGCTCCAGGCACTTGGGAGACGTCCAATCTGGAGAAAACTTGTGCTATGTTATCCCGGGGGCTGGAATAATATAGTGGTTGGCAGGCTGGAGCATTAACTTGGGGTTGGAGCTGAGAGCGTTGTACATAGTTACCACAATCTGCACTGCGAGGTAACTGGGAAAGAGGCTGGTGGACTGCGGACTGGGACTGGGCTTGGAATGCAGTCATCAGGCTCTGGAACTGGGTACGGAGCTCAGCATTGTCCCGACGCATCTCTATGAGGGCAGCACTTAACTCTGGGATGCAGGTGGTCTCCTGTCCTCCTGTGGCTCGAGCTGGAGAACTGGAGAGCTCTGGCTCCTGTACTTCATCAATACCTCCAAAGTTCTGACTGATAGGAGATATGGATCTTGGCGAATGCTCTCTCTGTGGAAGACCCGTGGCTCTGGATGCTGACTTGAACTGGCTCTGGGCCCCTGGTCCACTGAGATCATACTCTGCCAGGTGAGCGGGCACTGAAGTCCGTCTTACAGGTCGGAGGTTACTTGCTTCTGACTCAGGGTTTTGCATCTTCAAAGCAATCTGGAATCCGGCTCGAAGGACCAATTGAAAAGGAGAGTGACTGTACTGATGCTGAATGGAATGTCCAGAACACTGTGGTGGGTCGGTTAGAACCCAATGATGAGTCAGGGAGTTGAATATGATGATTTATTGAAGCTTGAGCGTATGGATGTGTGTGTGTGTGTGTGTGTGTGTGGTCCTAAAACAGAAACAATAAACATAATATTAGATAATTGGCTACATCTCTTAATACAGTATCTAAATTATATTCACATCCTCACAATAACACACTGAACTTACTATACAATAATTATATATATTAGTGGAAAGACTAACAAACTCACACTAACATATTACATCCACATCTACAAACATGTAATAGTGCAGCGCCGCGCTCATCGCTCTAAACAGAGGAGCCACGTGCTGGCCATGTGATGGGCGCATGCATCAATTAGCAGTAAAAACACTGATACCTATGAAACTACACTTAACTAAACATTTCCATACACAGTACTTACTTTTATAACGCACACCTTTGACTTAAACACACAAACTACTGCAAACTTTAACTTAAACTTATGAAAACACTCAGACACGGCAAAGTAAGATGTGCTCGCTCCACTCCTCTCTCTCGCTCTGTGCATGCAGGGCGCACGCAGGTCTCCGGTGGTCCAAGCTCCGCCCCCTTAAAGGGCCAGCGTGACAGTCTCTAAGGCAGCCTTTTTAACAGTGTGTGTGCACTCTCTCTGGTCCAGAGAGAGACTTGTAGGAGAGACTATAGAGACGAGTGAGAGAGACGTGTGAAAGGTTTGAAAATGTGATCGGAGCTGCTTTAGAGTCAGGAACTGGAGACATGGGTTTATTACTATTAGTTATTTTGGTTTATTATTAGTTAGAAAGTTACATACCCCAGCTTTAAATAATTTCAATTAAAAATGACGTTTGAGGGCCATAATGAACAAGAATAATGCATATTATCTGTGACATTTCACTCAATGTCCCACCGAAGCATAGTGTGTCTTTGCAAATACATAAATAAATTAAACACAAAAAACTTCCACCAGAGATTATTTGTGGAATTATAAACATGTGTTTTCCCCTTGTCAGCGTGTACAAAGATCACATGTGAGAGACGGGCTTAAAGCAGCAGACAGCTCCCTCTCATGTCGAGGGGGAGGAGCAGGCATCCGACAAGTGTTTGCTTTTAGAAATAGTGGTTATGCTAATTTAAGGTTTACAGTCGGTGACCTGCGCTCCTCACGGATTAGCACGCCCCGTTTGAATGTATGAGTGAGCGTCTGCCATCAGAGAGTGGGGGATTAGCCTGAAGTGAAGCAGAGGAGGAGCTATAGGTCAGGGTTCTCAATCTGTGGACATGCGGTCGCTCTAGAGGCGGTCTCATGTCGCACTGCCTGTAATTTAGCTTCTTGTTTGATCCACAAACATAGCAAACACAGGCGACGTTTAAAGGGTTTTAAACACTTTAAAGATAATCTGCAAGTGTTCAAAAACTCAACAACAGAACTGTATTACGCACGCACGCACACACACACACACAGAGACACACGAATTAACCCACAAACCACGGACTGGACTCATAATACAGATGGCCTCTTCAAGAAGGGCCATAGCCGGCTCCATCTGCTGAGGAAGCAGATAGCGCAGGGGTCATTCATGAAGACCTTCTATGATTCTGTGGTGGCATCAGCCATCTCTTGGAGCAGCAGCATCAGAGAGTGGTCATCAGGAAGTCCAGCACTGTCCTGGGCTGTTCCCTGGACACAGTGCAGCAGCTGGGGGACAGGTGGGTCCTGGACAAACAAACATCTATGCTGGTCCATGACTTTTTCACAGTATCAGTACGGTTCAGTGCAGTACGCTTCAGCACAGTTATTTTGCGTTTCCACTAGTGGATGGTATGGGAGATTTGAGTACTTTTCCGTACTGCCTCAGCCTTGGTTCCATCCCCATAGTACCCGTGCCATGACGTCACGTCGGCCCAATGCCTTACACTGATTGGTCAACGAATGTCGTCACTGGAAGCGACATCTGACCCTTTGGGAAAAACAACTCAACCGCCATCTTTAAAACCGGCTGCTCTGCTCTGCTCTGCTTTGGCTACATTACGTCCTCCTCACTCCAGAGAAATGGAATTGCACAGAAAGCCCCAAAAGTCCTGGTCCTGGTCGGTGGACGAGGTCCACACGTTCCTCTCTTTAGGCCAAAGAAAGAATTAAAAGGCAGCTCGAGGCTCAACACAGTTTTCAGGGAGATCACCCAGCTCTGGATTTGTGACTAGTCTGTGGTAATCCTGGAAATAACTGGTTAGATACGAATCCCGTTAAAGCTCTCACTGAAATGTATTTACTGTGTAAATGCTCGATTGTCTGTTGTACACAGTGAGCTAGCTACATTTAGCTTCATTTAGCTATCGATAGCAGCTAAGCTAACGCCCTCCCTGTGCTACTGTGCTTTATCTCGTATTATCTGCAGTATTCGTGTGTTGTCATTCTGTTTTGTGCTTGTATTTAAGTTGTTGTGTGTATATTTGTATGAGAATCCCTTCCCATAAGTGTGGAGATTACCAAAGAGTAATGCGTGACCAGAGTATTCTCCTCATCTGGACCTGGTCTGGACCTGGTCTCACACATACGTACTTTTGACTTTGTAAACTGTTGGTTTTGCACTTTACTTTTGTTTTCAATAAATCTGTGATTGTATCCCAAGACTGTGTTTCATTCATTTATTATTATTGTAGCTGAGGTTTGGGTATCGATTGTTTGTCTGGTCTTGGAGTATGCTGTAGTCCGGACCCGAGTCCGGACTAGCCTAGCCTAGCTTAGCTTAGCCTAGCCGCTAACTCGCTACCCCTGTGGCTGCCGCTATCTCTCCCTCGGTCCTTTACTGCTCGAGTTGCCATATGACGAGTTTAAACCCTGGATCCTCCTCTGATGGCAGTGATAGATGTGTTAAGTGTAGTATAGTTGTAGCTTTGGAATCCAGGGTTAGTGAGTGAGCAGAGTCTCGAGCTAGCGCTAGCATTAGCTATAGCCTAGCAGTATCCTCGGGCATGCAGCCCTCCTCCTCTGCACACACAGGCTGCTGTTGCTACGGGTCCCATTCAGATTGTACAGAGCAGTCAGCACCATTGACTTCAGTGTCTGGGTCATTATTTCAAGAAATAAGCATTTTCAAAAACTACTCGTGCTGTGCTGAATTTTCTATTAAACACTTGCTCTGATATTATAATAAATCCATGCACCGCACCAGTACTAGTTACGCGTCACACGTAAATGACGTGGTCTGACAACGCTGAGGACATACTGGGGGTGCTATTTTTGATGGAAAAGCACGCGAACTGGGCCATTGCGCGCCATGTAGAGTCAAAACGTACCGTGCTAGGACTGTGGAAAAACGGCATTTGTCTGCTCTGGCGAGCAGCTTCAGTGATGGACTGATCCACCCTTCCTGTGTGAAGAAAAGGTTCCGCAGGTCTTTCCTTCTGGCTGCTGTCAGACTGTACAACAAACTGAGGACTAACAAACACTGCCAACATGACCTCACATGTTGTGCATCTGTGCAATAATTTAAAATTTCGTAATATGCAAAAAAGAACCCCATGCAGTGTTCCCCATTTCAGATTATAGCAGGGCGCCGTACCTTGGCGCCTTTATTGCCTGCCCCACAGCCCTAATTTCTGCCCAATTTCCACTTCGTTGCCTTTAAAAACAAAACACTGGTTGCTAGGCCTGTCGCGATATTTATGGCGTCAAAATAGGGTCTGCTTAAACGTAACCGTAAAGCAGAAGTTGTAAGTAGGGCTGGGCGATATGGCTGAAAACTATATCACAATATAAGTAATTCATATCGGTCGATAACGATATACAGTACCTTGCGAAAGTATTCGCCCCTTGAACCTTTCAACGTTTCGCCACATTTCAGGCTTCAAACATAAAGATATAAAAAAATTATTTTTTGTCATGAATCAACAACAAGTGGGACACAATCCCTAAATACTGAGAAGTGGGGCGTGCAATATTATTCAGCCTCTTTACTTTCAGTGCAGCAAACTCACTCCAGAAGTTCAGTGAGGATCTTTGAATGATCCAATGTTGTCCTAAATGACTGATGATGATAAATAGAATGCACCTGTGTGTAATCAAGTCTCCGTATAAATGCACCTGCTCTTTGATAGTCTCAGGGTTCTGTTTAAAGCGCAGAGAGAACCATGAAGACAAAGGAACACATCAGACAGGTCCGAGATACTGTTGTGGAGAAGTTTAAAGCCGGATTTGGATACAAAAAGATTTCCCAAGCTTTAAACATCTCAAGGAGCACTGTGCAAGCAATTATATTGAAATGGAAGGAGTATCAGACCACTGCAAATCTACCAAGACCCGGCCGTCCCTCCACACTTTCATCTCAAACAAGGAGAAGACTGATCAGAGATGCAGCCAAGAGGCCCATGATCACTCTGGATGAACTGCAGATAACTACAGCTGAGGTGGGAGAGTCTGTCCATAGGACAACAATCTGGCCTTTATGGAAGAGTGGCAAGAAGAAAGCCATTTCTCAAAGATATCCATAAAAAGTCTTGTTTAAAGTTTGCCATAAGCCACCTGGGAGACACACCAAACATGTGGAAGAAGGTGCTCTGGTCAGATGAAACCAAAATCGAACTTTTTGGCCACAATGCAAAACGATATGTTTGGCGTAAAAGCAACACAGCTCATCACCCTGAACACACCCTCCCCACTGTCAAACATGGTGGTGGCAGCATCATGGTTTGGGCCTGCTTTTCTTCAGCAGGGACAGGAAAGATGGCTAAAATTGATGGGAAGATGGATGGAGCCAAATACAGGACCATTCTGGAAGAAAACCTGTTGGAGTCTGCAAAAGACCAGAGACTGGGACGGAGATTTATCTTCCAACAGGACAATGATCCAAAACATAAAGCCAAATCTACAATGGAATGGTTCACAAATAGACGTATCCAGGTGTTAGAATGG